TGAGCCCAGGAGTTTGAGGTTGCTGTGAGCTAGGCTGACGCCACAGCACTCTAGAGCCCAGGCAACAGAGTGAGTGAGACTGTCTCACAAAAAGAAAAAAAAAACTATATGTTAAGTTCTGAGCAGGAAAGGCTGTTCAAGAACAAAACCTACATTATGTTAAATGAGAGAAGCCAGACACAAAAGGGCACATATTGCATAATTCCATTTATAATATTAAATGTTCAGAATAGGCAAATCCACAGAAATAGAAACTATCATAGATTAGCAGTTGCTTAGGGCTGGGGGGATGTGGGGAAAGGGAGGTAGTACCTAATGGATATAAGGTTTATTTCTGAGGTGATAAAATTTTTGAGGTCCTAAAACTGATTATGGTCATAGTTGCACAAATCTGTGAATATACCAAAAATCACTGAATTGCACACTTTAAATGGGTGACTTGTATGCTATGCGAATTATATCTCAATAAAGCTATTACCAAAAAAATTTTTTCATTAAGGAAAAACTGTAACAAGGCAAATTAAACATAACCTTTTTCATCTCTCTCTCTCTCCTCTGTGTCTTCTAGTGGTGTTCTTAAATCCCACTACAATGGGAGCTCAAGGAAATCTTAAAGGCTCATATCTATAATGTAAAGAATGGGAGACAAGAACGCAGTAACAGCCTTTTGAAAGCTAGAGAACAGATGGATGAGCGATAGATAACCGACTTAGTTTTCCACTTTCTTCACATACTAAGTCAATAGCATGGCCAGCCTAGAGGCAAGACAATTTCCACTAAGAGATCTCAGAAAGCCTGAGACTTAACTTCCACACACGAAATGGGAAGAATTTGTGAGAATCAAAACAGGAAATTGTATGTGAAAGTGCCTTTTTAGTAGTAAAGTTCTATAAGAGTACACTGTAGGCTGGGCGCAGGGGCTCACACCTATAATCCTAGCACTCTGGGAGGCTGAGGTGGGAGGATCACTTGAGGCCAGGAGTTTGAGACCAGCCTGAGCAACAGCGAGACCCCCGTCTCTATAAAAAACCAGAAAAATTAGCCAGGTGTGGTGGTGTGCGCATGCCTGTAGTCCCAGATACTTGGGAGGCTGAGGCAGGAGGAGGCTTGAGCCCAGGAGTTTGAGGTTGCAGAGAGCTATGTCATGCCACTGCGCTTCAGCCTGGGCAACAAAGCAAGACCCTGTCTTTAAAAAAACAAACACACAAAAAAGAGCAGACTGTAGAGGAGCCTTATCATTACCTTGCCAAGTCATCACCCCAAGGAACCGATCAGCTACTTCCTGAGGGAAACGCCAATGCTCCGGAAGACACAGTGTTCCGTCAGGTCTTTCAGAACACAATTTCTCCAGGTTAGCAATCAAGGCATTCAGGCAGATGTTGACCAAAGAGTAGGGAGATGCCTCCTCCTAGCAAACAAACCCCAGACAAACTCTGTTAGAATGTATCTGCAAAAATTCAACATATCATTGATTATCCTATACATATCCTACTTGATAAGGATATCTGAAGATACATCCTCTTTAATAATAATTTATATGTAATGAGGCCGGGTACGGTGGCTCACACCTGTAATCCTACACTCTGGGAGGCCATGGTGGGAAGATCACTTGTGCTCAGGAGTTCAAGACCAGTCTGAGCAAGAACGAGACCCCATCTCTACCAAAAATAGAAAAAATTAGCCAGGAATGGTGGTGCACACCTATAGTCCCAGCTACTTAGGAGGCTGGAGCAGGAAGATCGCTTGATCCCAGGAATTTGAGGTTGCAGTGAGCTATGATGTCTCCAAAAAAAATAAATAATAATTTATATGTAATGAAACCATCTTATTTATGACAGTGTGAAAGTGATATGCATTCAGTAGAAACCATACTTCAGATTTCGAATTTTGATCTTTTCCCGGGCTAGTGATATACTGTATCATCTCTTTTGATGACAGTGGCAGCAAACCACAGCTCCTAGTCAGCCATGTGATTGGAAGGGTAAACTAATACTTGATATCTTCCTGAAAAACACTATGCCTACTACACCAACAACAGTGTTGATGGGCTCCAGTGCTGAGAAAAGAAATTGATGACCCTGTCACTGTAGCATCCCCATCATCTAGCAATGCTACTTTTGACCCAATGCTTCAAACATTCTTCAGGCCCAGTGTGCTTTTAGATGCGTATGTTAACAACCACAGTTTTTCACTTTCAGTACAGCATTCAATAAAGTACATCAGACATTTAACACTTTATTATAAAATAAGCTTTGTGTTACATGATTTTGCCCAGCTGTAGGCTAATATAAGTGTTCTCAGCATATTTAAGGCAGGCTAGGCTAAGCCACGATGTTCAGTAGGTTAAGAGTATTAAATGGACTTTTGACATGGTATTTTAACCTTATGATGGATTTATTGGGATGCACCCCATAAGCTGAGGAACATCTGGTAGTCCCTTTCTCCTCTAAGATACAATGGTTATCACTCATTTAACAAATATTTGAAAGGCACAGCATTGTGTTAGACATGAGGAAAGAATGATAAGCCAGAGAGAGAGCTATCCTTCTCAGAGGCTTCAATATGCAACAGTTCATTGATGCCCCCACATCTCTTTCGAGACACTACAATCACCCCGTGGCCAAAGGCAGGATTGCTTGAGGCCAGGAGTCTGAGGTTGTAGTGAGCTATGATCACTCCACCGTACTCTAGCCCATACAACAGATCTAGACCCTGTCTCATAAATACATACATACATAATTATACTATCTATAAAGCCAATGAATCCCAGATCATCATCTCCAGGTCAGATCTCTCTTTAAGCCATAGTCTTAGATATCCAATTGCCTCTCTAACATATCTACTTAACTGTGTCACAAATACTTCAAATTCATCTTGTACAAAATTGAACTTCCCCAGTCTTTCCCAGCTCAGTAAACAGCATCACATCTATTCAGTTGCTGAATCTTTGCCACATTTCCTTGTCTTCAACCAACACCCCCACACAAACACACACATCCAATATATTAACGAACCCCACTGGTTCTATCTCTGTGTCTGACAGCTTCCATCTGTCATCTACTTCCCACCTAGACTCACTCCTTAACCTTCGCTACCCTGTCCTGCTACTGGAGGTGACCTGTGTGGCCCCTCTAAATAGATTCCCTTACCCTCTCGTTGTCAGTTTGGTTCCGAGAACACGAAAATCTCAAAGATAGAAGGAAGGAAAGTGAAGTTAGAATATGTACAGTATTAGTTTCCTAGGGCTACTGCAACAAATTACCACAAAATGGGAGGCTTAAAACAACAGAAATTTATTCTCACAGTTCTGGAGGCTAGATTCCAAAGTGTCAGCAGGGCCATGCTCCTTTCTGAAGGATCTAAGGGAGAATCTTTACTTTACTCTTTCAGCTTCTGGTGGCTCCTAGCTTTCCTGGCTTTCAGCAGCATAACTCTATAATTTCTGCCTTCATCTTCACATGGCCTTCTTCCGTCTCCAATCTCTCTCCCCGTCTCTTTAAGGTTACCACTAGTCATTGCATTTAGGGTCCACCTTGCTAAATCCAGATGATTCCATCAAGATCTTCAATTAATTATATCTGCAAAGTCCCTGTTTCCAAATAAGGTCAGATTCACCAGGGTTAAGACTTGGACATATCTTAGGGGGACACAATTCAAGCCACTACAGTGTATTTCCCCAGCTCCCTCTGCAAGGTTGTTCTGGGCTGGCTCTGTCCCACAACCACTCCTCTAAAACTCATCCCTCTCTCTCCTGGAAGGTCCTTTGGGAGGTGCAGCTGCTGCTGCTGAATATGGAATACTATATCACTGTGGCTTTCCATACCTCACCCTTATTATCTTCAGAAAAAAATCCCTAAACTAAACCCTCTCTGAATTACTCCTATTTTGAGTGTATCATCTGTTCGGACCTCGAAACAGATTACATAACACTAAAATAAATTTCTAACCTATCCCCTTTCTAGCTCCACTATCAATTTCTAATCCAAGGCATTATCATCTTACCTAGAATACTGCAAAACTCCAATTAATTTCTCTACTTTCACTCCTCTAATCCTTTCCCAATCCATTTGTACCCAGAGGCTAGACTCATTTCTAAAGTGTAACTATACCATGTAACTCTCCTAATTAAGATGTTTCAATGGGTACAAAGTTTAAAAAAAATATTTCTATATGCAAAACATGGAAAATAAAAATTTTTAAAGATTTACAATAGTATTTTAAAAATATCAGGCCGCGCACTGTGGCTAATGCCTGTAATCCTAGCACTCTGGGAGGCCAAGGTGGGAGGATTGCTTGAGCTCAGGAGTTCGAGACCAGCCTGAGCAAGAGCGAGACCCCGTCTCTACTAAAAATAGAAAGAAATTGGCCAAACGACTAA